TTGTTCACTAGTGGTATAAAGGAAAGCAGCCCTGGCTAGGTAGCTAAGTTGGTTGGAGGTTCATCATTATATGCCAAGGTTGAGGGTTTGACCCACATTCAGGGCACATACAGGAATCAACCAATGAATTAGTGTTGTACCTAACAGGAGCAACAAATCAATGTCTCTCTCTCCCTTCTTCTCTCCCTCTCTCCCTCTTCCTCTCTCACTCCCTTAAAAATTAATAAATTAAAAATAAAAAAGAAAGCAATTGAGTTTTATATATCAACCTTGTATCCTGCAACCTTGCTATAAATGTGAATTAGTTCCAGGAGTGGGGTTTTTTTAAAATTCTTTCAGATTTTCTATATAAAAGATTGTGTCGGTGGCAAACAGTTGTATGTCTTCCTTCTCAATCTGCATACCTTATACCTCCTATCCTTATCTTTGCACTGGCTAGGATTTCCATTAAATGATGTTGAAAAGGATGGTTAAAGGGGACATTATTGCATTGTTCTTGATTGTAGTGGGAAAGATTGTAGTGTCTTATCATTAAGTATGATTTTAGCTGTGGGTTTTTTGTATATGTTCTTTATATCAAGTCAAGGAAATCCCCCTCTATTTCTCCTTTGCTAAGAATGATTATCATGAATGGGTGTTGGATTTTGTCAAATGCTTTTTCTGAATCTATTGATATCATCATGTGATTTTTCTTCTTTAGCCTGTTGTTTAGATAGATTACATTAATTGATTTTTCAAATGTTGAAACAGCTTTACATACCTGGAATAATAAATCCCAACTGATTGTGGTATATAATTCTATTTAATATATTATTAGATTCAATTTGCTAATATTTTGTTGGGGATTTTGCATCTATATTAATGAAAGATATTGGTCTTTAATTTCCTTTTATGTTAATACCTTTGTCTGTTTTGATATTAGGGTAATGCTGGTTTCAAAGAAGGAATTAGGAAGTATTTCCTCTGTTTCTGCCTTCTGGGAGAGATTGTAGAAAATTGGTATCATGTCTATCTAAAATGATTGGTAGAATTCACCAGTGAACCCATCTGGGCCTGGTGCTTTCTGTTTTGGAAAGTTATTGACTATTGTTCAATGTATTAAATAGATACAGGCCTATTCAGATTGTCTATTTTTTCTTGTGTGAGTTTGGGTAAATTGTATCTTTCAAGGAATTGGTCCATTCCATCTAGGTTATGAAATTTGTGGTCATGAAGGAGTTCAGGATATTCCTTAATTATCCTTTTAATGTTCCTGAGATGTGCATTAATGTCCCTTTTTTCATTCTGATATCAATAATTTGTGTCTTTTTCTTAGTTAGCCTGGCTGGAGGTTATTAATTTTATTAATATTTTCAAAGAACCAGCTTTTTGTTTTACTATTTCTCTTTTTCTGCTTGCTTTGGATTTAATTTTCTCTTCTATATACAACAACTTTTGATGAGTTATATTTTCTTTTAATTGGCTAAAAATATTTTTTAACTTCTCTTGAGATTTTGTCTTTGACCTGTGTTACTTATAATTACATTGTTTAATTTCAAAGTATTTTGGGATTTTACCAGCTAGCTTTCTGTTATTGAGTTATGAGAGTGAAAATCCTTGCTTTCTTCCTGATCTAAGGGAAAAAGTATTCCATCTTCTACCATTAAGTAAAATGGGTTGTTTTGTTTTATTTTTTAAAACCACTTGATGGTAGTATGATTGACATGTAAAAAGCTGTATATATTTAATGAATATAAAAGTATAACATTAGTGTAGCTTTTTATAGTTACCCTTTATCAGACTAAGGAAGTTCCTTTCTATTCCTAGTCTGTTGAGAGGTTTTTAGCATGAATGATATTGAATTTTGTCAAATGCTTTTTCTGCATCAACTGATGTTATCACATGATTTTCCTTGTTTAGAATGTTAATATGATATATTACATTGTTTGCTTTTCAACTATGAAACCTGCCTTGCATTCCCACAACAAAGCCCACTTAGACATGGTATATTATTCTTTTTACATATTACATGGAACTCGCGTACATTTTTTCTGTCTTTTTAAAAAATTTTAATTTTTGATTAGTTAACAAAAATGTTGGGTTGATGAAGCATGTTAGCAATTAATGGAGCTATATCCACGAAGCTATGTTTAGTCTCAGTAGCCTTCAAAGAAAATTTTTTGAGTACATTTGCAACATCATGATGCAAGAATTCATACTAACTTGAAAGATTGAAGGGGAAGGAGGCCACATCATGCAAGATTTTGACTGAATGTGTAACCTGCTAAAGGGTCCCTATAAGAGAAAAGGCAGAGAAGGAAATTAATGCTTGGGGAATACTTTTTTTAAAAAATGAAGTTTCATTCTTTTAAAATAATCTATTTTTAAAGAATTTCAAGCTTACATAGAAGTTGCTTAAACTGTACAGAGAACTCCCGCTCGCATTCACCTACATTCTCCAGTGGCTACTGTTTCTCAGCATTTGTGGAGCATCTATAACCAGTGCTAACACCAGTTCCCTGTCCACATTGCACCACATGGCAGGGGTAGATTAGCCACTGTGCTTACCTCACTTCACTTCCATGGACACCCTGTGTCACAGGCGATGCTCTCAAAGTTCAGAAAGTTTAGTAAGCCTGCTCGCTTCACTGGCAAAGGCAATGTTTCAGACGCAGACCCGAATCCAGGCCTGTGCTTGCTCCAGTACCCGCCCCACAGGCCCAGTTCTGAGCTCAGGGAATTAAAGGTGCATGTGGCTGACATCTGCTTGGGGATCTGACCCTCCCCTCCAATCGTCTTTTTTATTCCAGGACCCCTCTTTGTGCTGAACGCTGAGGAGATTGCGGAGGAAATAGGGAATATGTGGAGGACAATGTATAAATTGACCAAGACCTTAGCTGACATACCTGCACCCAGGCGCTTGGCCGAGAACGTGAGGATGAAGATTGACAAGTTCAAGCAGCACATCCCTATTCTCAACATTTCCTGTAACCCAGGAATGAAGGACCGGCACTGGCAACAGGTCCTGTCACTGTCAACCCCCTGCCCAGCCCATTCCTGGTCCTGGTAGCCCCGAGAAGGCAGGAACCATTCCTAGGTCAAGCTTTTTCTGAAAGGAGAATCTACTGGAAGCCAAGGGGGTAGGAAGGGGGTGAGAGCCTTTTGACATAAGGGAATGGGCAGGATAAGGGATGCACTGCCTTCCGCATGAGCAGGTCTCCCTGTGCTTTGGGAACCCCGTTGCTGGTAGTTCAGTGCTGTTTCAGCCCGTGGCCACGCAGGCTCTCCTTATCTCCTTTCTTGGCAAAGAGCTGCTCCAGGTTCTACAGGGGACAAGGGTATTGAAGTGCAGTGGCCGGGGCCTTGCTTTGCTCCTCGACCTAGGCTACACAGAAGAGAAATCGCATCCCTTCCTGGGTCTCCAAACACGCCGGACTCCTGCTTGCGCTGACTGTGCTGGAGTCCCGGCATCCAACAGGCTATGCTCAGAAACAAGTGTCCACTCCTCTTTCAGCCCTTTGAGTCTTTAAATGAGAATAACAAACGACCTTCCTAAAAATAGTTGGGATTTTTATAAGCAGCCAAGTGTGAGGGTGGTAAGTGTGGTGTGAACACTAACCAGAGAAAAGGAAAGTGCACTGCTCCTGTAATAATGATCGTATGCAAGGCTAGCAATGCCCTGAGCAGACTCAACCCGGGAGCTGCTCTGCTCTGTGTGGAGGTGGGGATGGGTGCCCACAGGCAGACTGCGCTCTGACTTGGCCTGGAATTCCCCCTCTTGGGACCACACACAAGACGGAGGACATCGTCCTCAGAAGGTCCCACTCTGAGGGCACACCCATGACTTGCACAGAATGATGCCCTGGCGCCGTTGCTGGGAGCATTTGGCCTCCCTGGGAAACAGAGATCTGAACGCATGAGAGATCCAGGAGTGTTCTGTGGAGGGCAGCTGCTTTCCATTTCCCAGGAGCCTTCAAGCTCCAGATGTAAGGAGGGGCAGAGGAGAGGTCATCTGAGTAGGTTTCTAGTCTTGATCTGCCCCAGCAGCGGGGTCTACAGAGGGCAGCTGCCCTCCCTTGGTGCTCAGAGGGTGCCTCTCCCTGTGGACCTAGCCTGACTAGAACTGACCATTGGAGGCCTGGGAGGGGGAGCAGGGCTAGGTCTCTTCGTGAGATGGCACCATAGAAAGCACCCTCATCAATGTCAATGGTGGCTAGACAACACTCAGGGCCCTTAGAGATCCACCCCTCCACTGGCGCTACACCTGTGAGGATGCTGCTCTCGCGCATGGAAATACAGACCATTCCCCAACAATCATAATCCTCATTGTAGACCACCTAGACCAGCGGTTCTCAACCTGTGGGTCGCGACCCCTTTGGCGGTCAAACGACCCTTTCACAGGGGTCGCCTAAGACCATCCTGCATATCAGATATTTACATTACGATTCATAACAATAGCAACATTACAGTTTTGAAGTAGCAACGAGAATAATTTTATGGTTGGGTCACAACATGAAGAACTGTATTTAAAGGGCCAGAAGGTTGAGAACCACTGGCCTAGATGGACAGATTGGGAAAAAATGCCTCTTAGAAGTAAAATCGCACAACAGTGGCTAAGCCATAGTGAATGCCAGGTGTTACTGGGTTCTGTGTTGCATACTTCACGTGGACCCTCTCACGTCACCTCCCAGCAACCCTTTGACATAGGGACTCTGATTATCTCCACTTCCCAGATAAGAAAACTAAGTCTTAGAGAGATTAAGTTGTCACGTGGCTAGGAAGTAAGGAGGGGAGAATTGGTCTCTAGCTCAGCCTAGACAGGTAAAAAGGGAGCAAGAAGTAGCAGATGAGAGGGAGTGGGAGTGGGGGCCGCAAGCTGTGGGTGACAGTGGCGTGTGACCAGGGAGTGGCTGCAGAGGAAGGACCCTGATGGGGCAGCCCAGTGGGCAAGCTCAGAAAGAACACAGGCCACCAGGTAGACTCAGGCTGCCCCCGGCCCAGCCCCTTCCTGCCTGCATTGCTCGTCACACCCTGAGCCGCCCCTGACAGCCCAGGCTGGGAGGCCCTTCTCACCCTAGTGCCTAACTCAGGAGACCGTCCGCTGGCTCTGGTTCTGGCAGGGGAAGGCTAAACCGCCTGTAGCTCTCAGGCTGGGTTCTGGGGTGGCCATTTCACAGGACTCGGGCAGAAAGGCTGGTCCTCTGTTTGGGGCCCAGACTTTGCTGCTATCGGCACAGTGGTTGCTGCGACAGTTTAAACAAGACGGGACAGGCCGAACTTGGCCTTGGGAAGAAACCCCACTGAGGAGCAGCAGGGCTGGCCCTATGGGCAGTGCTGCCATAGAAATAGAATGTGAACATTTGTGTAATTTTTAGAGTTTCTAGTAGCCATGTTTTTATTTTTTTAAATATATTCTTATTGATTTCAGTGAGGAAGGGAGAGGGAGAGAGAGAGAAGCATCAATGATGAGAGAGAATCATTGATTGGCTGCCTCCTGAATGCCCCCTACTAGGGATCCAGCCCGCAACCCGAGTATGTGCCCTTGGCTGGAATTGAACCTGGGACCCTTTGGTCTGCAGGCCACTGCTCTATCCACTGAGCCAAACCAGCTAGGGCAGTAGCCACATTTTTAAAGGCAAAAACAGGCTAAATAAATTTCATGAATAAATTTTATTTCACCAAACTTAACCAAAATATTGTCATTTCAACAGGTAATCAACATAAAAATGTTAACAAGGTATTTCACAGGACCTTTTCCATGCTGAGTCGGAAACGTGGTGTGCTCCCCACTCACAGCACATCCGCTCGGACTAGCCCACCAGGGCCCCGGCTCCGGATGGGACGGCACGGTTCTGGGCTCTTGGACTAGCACACTGGATGCTTGTTCACTGACATAGTTCACAACACGATTTAAGTAATAAAACGACCAACCTCCGAGGGTTCGGGGCCAAGTACTATGCCAGGTGCTTTGCGCAGCTGTCACTTAGTCCAGGGAACAGCGCGCTCTAAGCTCCGAAGGCAGGAGCCAGGGCCCGCAGGGCCGCCTCCGGATGCGGGCTGCGCACGCGGTGTGGGCTGCGCTCTCGCCTTCTGCAGCGAGTAACCTGCACCGCGGTACATGGAAGACCCGAGGGAGATGGGTAAGAGCCTTGGAGTCAGAATGGAGCCAGGTCCCAGTTCCACCATTTACGAGCTGATGGTCTTGGACAAGATACTTAATTTCCTTGATGTAGTTTCCTGATATGTAAAATGGGGATAGTAATACATTAGAGCCTTCCTCGTGGTGTTGGGAGAATGAAAGAAGCACATAACAGTCTTAGAACAGAGCCCATACAGAGTGACTGCTCAATAAATGTTAATTACCTTCTTATTCCCATCGCCGTAGTGGCCCTCCGTGTCCTCAGAGCCCAGGGGGGAGCCACCTGCATGCGCTGGCGCACTCATGCCTTCACCCATAGCCGGTCACTGATGCTCCGCACGCCAGGCCCAGGGGCTCAGGCGGAACAGACAGAACATGGCACAACTTCACCCCTTCCTGCTCTGACATTTGTAGCCCTGGGGACGGGGGTGCTGGGCAGTGACAAACCTGGGCGGGGGGCGGGGGTCCCCGAGCCTCCCACCTCCACCTGGTGCTGCTCAGGTCTCTCACTTCCTGAGAAGGTGCTCAACGCCCCAGAGACTTTGCTGAACGCTTCCCTGGGGTGTGGTCACTAAAAGCTGCGCGGAGGGTGGTGCTTACAACAAAGAAAACACGGCTCCGGTTTCCAGCAAGTTAGCACCTGGGAGGGGGAGGTACCGTAGAGGATGGCTGCCTCCTCCTGCATCCTCGCGTCCTCGCGTCCTCGCATCCTTGCGTCCTCGGGCTGCCTGCCACCTGGTCGCAGGACTTGCTCCTTCTGTTCAGCAAACCCCGGCTTCTGTCACAGGCCAGGCTTTGCATGAGGCCCTAGAATCACACAGTCCCACCCCCTAAGACACTCAGGGCTGCCCGGCGCCCAGTGCTGGCGCCAGACCAGCGCCCAGGAAAGCAGATAGACCACAGCGGGCGGGGGGCCTGGCTGCCCAGATCCTTAGATGGCACTGCCCATTCTGCAGCCGCTGGCTACGAGCAGCTATTTAAACATGTTACATTAAATGGGAAAATCCATCCAGGCCAACCAGGCACACTTCCCGCTCAGCAGTGCCTGTGGCTGCGGGAAGGGGCCAGGGGGCAGGAGTACTTCCCTCCTCCCATGTCGGCTGGGCAGCGCTGGCGTGAACCATAAACACGGACTCTCATCTCTTTGCAGATTAGTGAGATTGTCGGCTGTGAAATAAAGCCCACGGATACGACATGCCTGGCCAATATGCTGGAATATGGATTCAGCAAATTCATTGACAAGTAAGGTGCCCCTTTCTTCAGGGAGTGAGTGATCAGAGGGCCTGTGAACCCCCCCACCCCCAACCCCCAATTGCCTCCCGCAGGCAGCTCCCTCCTGCCTGGACATGAGGGCAGCCTCCCCTCTGGTGACTGGCCAGGAGGACCTTTCCTTTTACTGACTTGAAAATTTTTAGTTCAAAGAGAAATTTAGGTTAAAAGTTTCTTGAACCAGATCCCAGAGCCCGCTTCTCTCAGGCTGACTTTGGTACAGCCGCTTACCCTTAGGGGGCCTCAGTATCACCCTCTTTACCCAACAACAACAATCAGAGGTGCCTCTCTTCCCGCTAAGTTCCACGGAACCTGGTTAAAAAACAGAGTCACATGCTCACTCTCCTTCTCCAAACGCCCTGGAGATTGCATACTGTGTGAGTGAGGATGTGTATGAACGAGTGCGGATGTGTACATGTGAGAGAGGATGTGTACATGT